TTGGGATTGCATTGAACGTGTAAATTGCCTTTGGTAGTATTGCCATTTTCACAATATTGAGTCTTCCTATCCATGAGCAAGGGATATTCTTCCACTTCTCCAGGTCTCTTTTTGTTTCTATTCTTAAATTCTAACTCAAATATCTTCTTGTCCACGAAGAATTACCTAGGAGCCTCATAGGGACTATATGCCCTCTTCTGAACATACAATTCACATCTTAATTTTTCATTTAGTTCTTATTATATACTGCTTCCTAAAGCTCAGTTTCTTAGTTTCTTCAGGATGATGATGAGCATGGTAAAAGCAGTGAATTGCATGAACATGAACCCAGTCCCCCACTTCATTTGCTATGAAGTGACTCCTTGGACCCAAAGCAATGTTGTGTAGGATACTATGATGACTGATGGCATACTGTGTAAGTCTATGAATGGTAATTTGGCACAAGCACATTTCTATTAAGGTCTATATACAGACTGTTTATTCAACTGAAAAGAAAAGTCTTCCCTTTCAATGATGAAAGTGCCCCAATGTAACTCACCTGCCAGAAGGTTCTGGCTGATCACCACCAGAAGAGGTCTTGATGTTGAGGAATGAGTGTTAAGTATTTGCTGCTGGCAGATTAGATGCTTAGCAGTAGCTGCAGCTAGGTCAGTCTGGGTAAGTGGGAGTCCCTCTTGATGAATTCATGCATAGCCTCCGTCCTTAAGGCTGTGGTCCTCTTGTCCTAAGTCCACTGAGCAATAACAGGAGCAGTTGGGGAAAGATGCCAATTGGTTTCCACAGATCATGTCATCATATCTATCTGCTTGTTTAAAAGTCTGTATGAGTAAAATTAATTGTTCTAGAATGTTCATTCTTATAAATGTTATCCATAAACTATGATCTACATGGTAGAAGGCCTGTGAATAATCACTAAAACAGAAACTATCTGGTATTCTCTGCTTTCGGTCAAGGTCCATTTGAAATGAACAACTTGTTCTGTGGCTTCTTCTTAATCCAGCTTGACTTTCTGGCAGTTCCCTGGTGATGTCCTGTTTCAACCATATTTTAGCAGTCGTCAGAAAGAAGAATGAATGCCTGTTGGTCACTTAAATATTCTTTTATAAACTTTCTGCTCAAGTCCTTCAACAATTTTAAAAACTGGGTTGTCTTTTTGTTGTTAAGTTGTAGAAATTTTGCTTCTTTTTTGGATATTGAGCCCTTATCTGATACACAACTCCTGAAAATTTCATCTGTAGTTTTTTATTTTTTAGTGTCTTAATAAAGTCCTTTTACTAAAAGGAAGTCCTCAGATTATGAATTTCCAAATCTATCTTTAAATTGAATTTTATGCAAGTAATTTTTAAATCATCTTTAACATAAATATGATGATGACAACAATAATAATAAAAATAGTTTTGACATACATCACAAAGTAGATCCCATCTGTTATTAAAAACATTTCATATTTCTTGCATTGTTAACATAATAGGCTTTATGGGAACTGGTGCATAACAGTGGATTGTATATTAATGGGATATTTTTAACCCAAGGACTGTCTACACAAAAGTTGTTGTTATTATGAGCTTGTGACTCAGAGCGATCCTACGTACAACAGCCCTAAACCCTGCTCTATCCCATGCCAATCGTATTGTCTCAGACACACCTATCCTCATCAAGGGTCTTCCTCTCCTACTCTGTCCCTAGCATGATGTCCCTCTCCAAGAACTTAAGTGTTGACCAGACTGCAAAAATCAACAACAGAAGGCCAAATTAGTTGCTTCAAGATGATCTCTCATTTCATATGAGGTATTGGAGAGCAGAAGCATTCTAGAATCTTATGATTAAATTTCCATCTATCTATGCTCTGGTGATTTAGTGGCAAGAAGCTGAGTTGCAAACCTGAAGGCACACAATTCAAGGCCACCAGTTCTTCCAGGGAGAAAGATGGGCAATCCCCTCCCGTGCAATTAGCTGTCTCTGAAAACCCACCGGAGGGTCAGCTGGTTCCGACTTGATGGTACACCACAACAACAATCTATCTGTCTGTTAGAGTCCATGGTCTAAGAAACTTTTTAGCTTTTCTCCCTCTCCCTCTATTTAATACAGAAAGGCTAAAAAGAATTAAAATTAGTTAATGCTCTTTCCCAGGTCAAAGTCAGACTTCAATAAAGTAATTTTCTTTGGGGTCTAACCTGTTTGAGAGAACAGAAGGCAGAACAGCAAGCTCTGTGTCTATTTCACAATGGTTACGTTTCCCTTTTTCTTGGCCAGAAACATAAGAGAATTTTTCTTCTGTCTTTACTCTGAGAACCATGAGGAGACCCTCGAGGTAAAATTTATGCATGCATGGGCTCCCTTAGAACAAGGCTTGCCAGTCTTTAACTCTCAAGTACTCTAAGGCCCCAGAAACCCGTAACCAAGGTGGAAGTGTACTGCTTCAGCTTGCTCCAGTGGCCTTGTTCTGGTAAACTGTCATCTTCTATATTTTCCTTTCAGGCAGCAGTTTGCTCAGTGACTTACATTTTCTAATATATCAAAGAAGAGATGGTTTCAATTTGCTTAACTTTTTCTTGTGAGGATGGGACCAATGATTTTCAAGCTCTTTACATGTCACAGCAGATTCCAAAAATCTACTTCTTTATTTTTTGAAGCGTAGTTTTGTTAAATATAAAATCTTTGATTGACAGTACCCTTTAAGCACTTTAAATTTATCATCTCCTGCCCTATATTAGTTACTATAAAATTTTATTTAAAAATGTGACCTGCACTCAAAGGAAGAAATTAAGTACAAGTTGGCTTTGTTTGAGTGGACCCATATATTGACATAACTAACAAAGATTTCAAGCTTGCCCTTGTAATGAAAGATTGGTGAGAGGGGCTCAAAGCAGACTTAAACATTTTTAAAGGTAATTAAACCTCAGAGGCCTGTGGCCCAGTATTAAGTATTCTGACATACATTTAATTGGTGGTGGTGGTGGTGTTATGTGCTGCTAAGTTGCCTGCAACCCATAGCAATCCTATATAGAGCAGCTCTGAAGGTTGCCCTGTCCTGAACCAGTCTCACTAATTCCAACACACAAATCCCTATTGCCCCAGTTACTGTATCAATCCATCACATCTGGGATCTTCCTCTCCTGTGCTGTCCCCTCCACCCTTCCAAGCATGACGTCCTTCTCCAAGGATCGATCCATTTTGGCCACATGCCCAAAGTGTATGAGATGGAGATTTCAAAATCTTAGCCTCCAAGGAGAAACTTGGTTGCACCCTCTCCCAAAGAGACTTATTTGTTTTGTTGGCAGTCCATGGTATGTTCAAGACTCTTCTCCAGCACTACAATTCAAAGGCATCGATTCTTCTTCCATTATCTTTGGTCGCTGTTCAGCTCTCAGATGCTTAGCAAGTAATTGGGAAGACAATGGCCTGGATTAGGCATACCTTAGTCTCTAGACTGATATCACTGCTTTTTAGTACTCTGGAGAAGTCCCTGACAGCAGATATTCCCAATGTAATTAGTCTTTAGATTGCCTGACTGCTGGATTAAATGTGTCAGTTGTGGAGTGGAGTAAACTGCAATTGATAACAACCTCACTATCTATCATGGTGCTGTCAATTGGTGGGAATCTTTGTCTTCTTGATGTTGAGCTTCAATCCATATCGCAGACTGTAGTCCTTGACCTCTGTACTAAGTGTTTCAGGTCCTCTTCAGTTTCAGCAAGGAAAGTTGTGTCATCTGTATAACATAGGTGGGTTGAGTCTTCCTCCAATCCTAATGTCACATTCCTCCTCATATAACCCTGCTTTCTGAATGATCTGTTCTCCATATAGATTGAAAAGGGATGGAGACAGGAGACCTTCAAATTTACAGATTCTTTATACATCTAGCAAATTCTTGGTTAAAAAATGGATACTGCAGCGAATACACTAGAGCACAACAAAATCTGTTTTCTTTTTCTGAAGATAGTTGGTTGCTTTAGAAGGCAGTTAACCTGCTTGGACTCAAATTTAAAAATTTTTAATCATCCAAAGGTCTGGCCACAGTTTACCTGAAGATTAGGTGAATTTGTTTTTGTTCTCTTGTCTTTTGTTGTTGTTGTTGTTGTGTACAATCAAGTTGAAATTGACCCATAGCTGACCCTCCAGAGGGTTTCAGAGGCTGTAAATTACACAGGAAGACATTGATTGCTTATCCTTTTACAGCTGGTGGATTCTGACTGTGACACTTGTGCATTGACAGCATAATTCCTTATCATAATCTAGGGCAGAGTTCTGATGTTGACAGGGTTGCTATGAGTCGTACTTCACTCAACGACACTTAACAACAGCAACAACAACAACGAGCCACCAGAACACCTATCTCTTGTATTTTAGGACTCCCTATTTAAATTTCCAGTTGCCTTGCTAGATCTCCGTTTCTAACGGAAACCTTAAAACAGCAAGGTTTCGGATTTTTTCCAGTTGTCTTGCCAGACCTCATCTGTGAACACTGAAACTTCAGATAAACAAGCCTTCTGATTTTCATTACCTACACTCTGGACATGTTATGAGAAGGGGTCAGTTTTTAGGCAAGGACATCATACTTGAAGAAGGAGATGGTCACTGAAGAGGAGGAAGACCTTCAATGAGACAGACTGACATGGTGATTGTACCAGGGGATTAGCAGAGATTGTGAGGCTGGTACAAATCAGGCCAGGTTTTAATCTGTTGTACACAGGGTCTTTATAAGTAGAAGTCAACCCAATAAGAAATCAACAGCAACAACAAACACTTTATGTGGGCTGGAGTATATATGCAGCCAAATGTACATTAAATTCACAAAGCATATCAGGCTTTAAGGTGGCTTTTCCTTAGTGTCTTTTGACTTGGTCCATGCATGCAAGCGGAATTTAGGAATCACCTACATATCTCAAGTTTGTGTATCTTATTTTAAACTTTTTCCTTACCCCAGAGACATAAAGATCTTCTCTACAGTCTTTAAAAATGTGAACATATTTTGCCTTTCCCATTTAATTCTTTAATCAGTCTAAAACAATTTCGTGTAGGATAGGGACCCAATTTTTTTCATATGAACAGAAATAAAACAACTAGCCCTCTTTTCCTTCCTCTCCAGTGCCACCAATGTCCTAAGTCAAGTGTCAAAAAAAGGGATCTCTTTCTGGACTATTTTTTGCTAGTCAACCTGCTCACCCTTGTGCCAACATCATGCTGTCTTAATTACTAAAGCTAAGTATTAACAAATGATAGAGCAAGTCTCTACTTTTCATTGATAGTACTTTTACAAACCTTAGAACTTTGCTACTCAGCATAACATTTTAGAATCAACTTGTTAAGTTCCTAAAAAACTGTACATTTCATGTACAGACCAATTTGGGAGAACATTTTTAGGATATTGAATCTTTTAAGTATTAACATTGGCAAAAAAATATTAAAAACAAACAAACAAAAAATTGGCTTAGGTCTTATATTGTAATAAAGTTTTTTTTTTTATAATAGGCTTACTATGTAAACTCTTGCATTAGGGATGCTAAAAACAACTGGAGTCTGTTTTGTGCTGATGCTGTCACACTAACTACAACTCATAGCAACCCTATGAACAACAGAATTAACCTTGCTTGAGCTGCAGTCTGTGTCAATGCATCTCACTCAAGGTCGTCCTTTTTTCCCCCCTCTTTTTTTTCAAAACACAAAGTCTTTTTTTAAAAAACCTAGAAATTCCTGACATATGCTTAAAGTATGAGACAAAGGAATACTCTGGCTACACTTTCTCCAAGACAGAATTATTTTATATTAGAGGATAGTAATATACTTTAGGAATTTCTCTATAATACAAAGACCAAAAGACTGAGGAATTATACTTATCATTTATAATGTATTTAACGCACATGTAATATTTGTAAGAAAAAAAATTAGAGTGAATTAGAGAATACTCACCCCAGCTTTACAATAAATGGGAGCAAATACCCAACCAAGAACCAGAAGCAGGAATATTGTCTGCAACCAAGAACAAGAATTAAATCACAGTTCAGTATTTTAGTTAAGATACAAATTCATTTACCACTGGTTTGGATCCTAATAAATATATCACTGTCAGGGATTTTACAAATAAAATCTCAAGCACTTTAGCAAAATATACTAGTATAAGCATATGATCTTTGCCTAAAAAAAGATTTTTCATACCATCATTCATATACATTGTGCTTCATTCACATAGTGTTTTACACAATCATTTTTATATATTGTGTTTTGTAGATTCACTATACCAGAAAGGATTGATTGACACTGAAAAATTTCAGGAAATACCATATGAACAGGCACCAATGGTAATTAAAGAGGAAGTAGAAGCTGCAATGAAGACATGGGGAGAGGGGAAAGCCCCCAGGAATCAATGGGATACCAAATGACTTATTTCAATTAACAGATGCAGTCTTGGATGCACTCAACAGTCAATGCCAGGAAATTTGGAGGATGGCTCTCTGGTAAATGGATTGGAAGAGGTTGATATTTGTTCCTATTCCCAAGAGAGGTGATCCAACAGAATGTGGAAATCATTGAACAGTATCATTGATATCACATGCAAGCAAAATACCACTGAAGATAATTTAAAACCAGCTGGAACAGTACATAGATAAAGAAATACCAGAAGTTTAAGCAGGATTTAGAAGAGGCTGTGGCACTAAGGATATCATTGATGATGTCAGATGGATCCTGGAGAAAAGTAAGGAATACCAGTAGAATGTCTCTTTGTGCTTTATTGACCATGCAAAGGCATTTGACTGTGTGTATTATGAAAAGTTGTTGCTGACATTAAGAAGAATGGGAATCCCAGATTGTGCTCATCTGGAATCTATATGTAGACCAGGACACTGTTGTATGAATGAAGCAGGGGAGCATCACATGGTATGGAATTGGGAAGGGAGTGTATAGTGCATCAGGGTTGTATTCTCTTTCCATACCTATTCAATCTGTATGCTAAGCAAATTATCTGGACTCTGTGAGGAGGAGTGTGACATCAGGATTGGAGGGAGACTAAGCAATAACCTGTGTTATGCAGATAGCATAACCTTGCTTGCTGAAAGTGAGGAGGGCTTGAGGCACTTGTTACAGAAGATCAAGGAATGGAGTTCTCCATACAGATTGCATCTCAATGTCAGGAAAACAAAGATTCTTACCACTGGACTGATAGGCAATGAAGATTGAGACTATCAACAGTTTCATCTTGCTTGGATCCACAATTAACACCCTTGGTACAAGCAGTCAGGAAATAAGGAAATGCATTTTACTGGCAAAATCTGCAATTAGGAACCTTTCCAAATTACTGAGGACTGACATCAGTTTGAAGACTAAGGTGCATCTGGTTCAGGCCATAGTCTTTCCAATTACTAGCTATACATTCAAGACCTGGACAATGAATAAGAATGATAGAAAAAGATTTGACACCTTTGAGCTGTGATGTTGGAGAAGAGCACTGAACATACCATGGATGGCCAAGAGAATGACTGGATGTCTTGGAGAGGGTACATCCAGAATGCTCTTTGGAGGTAAGGATGATGAGACTTTGCCTCAGATACTCCGGACATGTTGCTAGGAAGTGCTATTCCTTGGAGAAGGACATGATGTTGGGAAAGGTGGAGGTTTGGCAAAGGAGAGGAAGTCCCTCAACCAGGTGGACTGACACGCTGACTGCTGCAATGGGCTCTTGTGTGTCAGGAAGTGTGAGGATGGTGGAGGATAGAATAGGGTTCGGATCTTTTGCTTATAGGGTCACTATGAGTCATGCTCGACTCAATGGCACTTAGCAACAACAACAACAATAATAACAACAACATATTAGTTACTGTTGATCAATGCCCTTTTTCATTCATATATATTGTGTTTTATATATTCATTCACATACATTGTTTAGTATGATTAATTTCTATTTCCCCTTCCCTTCTTCTGTCCTCCTTCTCTCCTTCCCCTTCTGAAGTTATACATATCCTATTCCAATTGTTAATTGCAATTGCTGAATTGTTCTTTCGTCAATTCTTCTAAATTGGCCCTCCCTTGCCCTGATCCTTTGCAGTGCTCACTGACTGTACATTCTCTCTCTGCTCTCCTAATTTCCCAACTCCCCAGTTACCCTCCCAATTTTACAGTTATGGTCTTATGTGGTATTTCTCTTTTGTGACTGGGTTATTTCATACAACATAATGTTTTTCAGCCTCTTCCAGGCTGCACAGTATTTTGCGAAATGATTGTTCCCTAGGGCTGCATAGTATTCCGTTGTGTGAATGTACCACAGTTTATCTACTTGTAATTGAAGAGGTGGGTCATATGGGATTTCTATACTCACCTTTTTAAAAGAAACATCCAAGCTGGCTTCCATAGTGGATGTACCATTTTATAATCCTACCAGCTAACTTTATCTCCACCCTTCAGCCAATAATTACTGTTTGCTGTCCTGCTATTTTGCTATTGCTGCCAGAGTGAGATAGTATCTCATTGCTGTTTTGATTTACATCTCTGATTGCCAGTGATTTTGAACATTTCTTCTTATGTTTGTTGGCTATCTCAATGTCCTCCTTTGGGAAGAGTCTTTTCATGTCTTTTGCCCATTTTGTGACTGAGTTATTAGGCTTTTTCTTGAGGAGGCCCTGTTGTTAGGTGCCATCAAGTGAGGTATGACTCACAGTGACCCTAATAATGAACAGTCAACCTGAATTCTGTCCTGTCCTGAGCCATCCTCATCATCTCTGACAGTAGAGCCCATTGCTGAAGTCACTGTGTCAATCTATCTCATTGGGGTCTTCCTTTCCTTTGCTGACCCACCATCTTTCAAAGCAGAATGTTCCTTTCCAATGAATAGCCTCTCCTAGCTACATGCCCAAAGTATGAAAGTGGAAGCTTCGCCATCTTTGCCTCCAAGGAGCACTCTGGCTATACTTTCTACAAGACATATCTGTTTGTTATTTTGGAAGTCCATGGGATATTCTGCACCCTTCTCCAGCACAACAACTCAAAGGTATCAATTCTTCTTTGGCCATCCTTATTCATTATCCAAGTCTCTGATGTGTAGCAGATGACGAAAAAGACCATGGCCTGAATTAGGTGCACCTTAGTCTTTAGCATAACTGTTCTTCAGCATTTTGAGGCGGTCTCTTATAGTAGCATGCCCAACGCAATATGTCTCCTGATTTCCTGTCTGCTGATACCAAGGGTGTTGATCATTGACCGCTTCAATCCTTTCTCCATCTATCATAATGGAGTACTCTGTAAATTTTAGTTATGAGATGTTTTTCTGAAATGTTGCTGCCAAGTGTTTTTCCTAGTTTGTATGTAGGCTTTCTTTTCACCCTGTTGGTTAATATTTTTGATGCATCTAGGGACTTGATGTTTAGAAGATCCCATTTGTAGATTTATTCTCTCATGGGTGTGCATTTTGAGCTATGTCTGCAAATCTATTTATGACATAGACTAGGGCTTCTAAATTTGTCTGTACTTTTTTCTTCTGATGATATTTGTAGTTTCTGGTGTTACCCTTTGGCCTCTACACTTTAAATTTGTTTTTTTTTTTTATGGTGTGAGAAGTGAATTCCGTCTTAGTTTTCTGCAAGTAGACGTCCCGTTTTGCCAACATAATTTGTTAAAGAGGATACTATTTCCTCATTTAATAGGTATTGTGTCCTTTAAAAATATCAGTTAGCCATAAGTAGAGGGGTTGATTGCTGAATTGTTGTTTCTATTCCATTGGTCTTTTCCTCTCATTGTACCAATACCATGATGTTTTGATTTCTATGACTGTGTAGTAGGATCTGAGTTCAGGGAGTGTGACACCTCCTACTTCGTTTTTATTTTTCAGAAGAGATTTGCTTATTCGGTGTCTCTTTCCTTTCCAAATAAAGTTGGAAATTGCCTTTTATCTCTCATTGAAGAATAAATTAGCCTAGTGACAAGGAGCTGCAACTACAATCCCAGAGGCGCACGGTTTGAATCCACCAGATGCTTTGCCGGGGAAGGAGGGACAATCTCCTCCTGTACCAGTCAGATCTGATTTGACGGTACACTCACACAAAAATAATAAAATAAAATAAAAATAATAAATTAGGGATCTGTATTGGGATTGCATTGAAATGTGTTAGATTGCTTTTGGTAGGACAAGTCAATGTTTTATAAAGTTTATTTACAGCTGTAAACTGACATTCTTAGGAGAATAACCAGAAACTACATAGCAACTAGTTGAATAATTGAAAGAATTTAGTTGAGTGTATTTTCACATATGTACACACACATACACAAGCACACTGGGAAAATCTGCAGTTAGGAACCTTTCCAAATTATTTAGTACTGATGTCACTTTGAGGACTAAGGTGCGTCTGATTCAGGCCATAGTCTTTCTGATTACTAGCTATGCATCCAAACCTAGACAATGAATAAGGATGATAGAAAAAGAATTGATGGCTTTGAGACATGGTGTTGGAGAAAAGCACTGAATATCCCATGGACGGCCAAGAGAACGAATGGATATGTCTTGGAGAGGGTGCTCCCAGAGTGCACTTTGGAGGCAAGAATGATGAGGCTTGCCTCAAATACTTTGGACATGTTGCTAAGAGGTGCTATTATTTGGAGAAGGACATGATAATGGGGAAGGGTGGAGGGTTGGCGAAGGAGAGGAAGACCCTTAACTAGGTAGATTGACGACACAGTGACTGCTGCAATGGGCTTGTGTGTCAGGAAATGTGAGGATGGCGCAAAATAGAACAGGGTTCAGATCTTCTGTTTTTAGGGTCGCTATGAGTTGTGCTCGAGTTGATGGCACCTAACAACACCCACACACCCCCCACCCCCCCCCCCCACATATCCCCCTTGTGACACAGTAGTAGCTTAAGTGCTGGATTATTAATGAAGTGGTTGGCAGCCACTGTATGGATGAAAGAGGCAGTCTGTTTCCAGTAAGATATACAGCCTCTAACGGAGAACAGTCTCCTCCCGTGAGACTTCATGCCTCTGAAAAC